CACGCGGAAAAAAAACATCGAAGCTGGAAATCTAAAAGAATAGCCTAACAGCGCTGCCAAGGTAAAATTTGAAGTAAAGATTTACCCAAAGTATTTCAGGATCCTTACCGGTGCTACAGAGTTTTTGCATTGCCCTGAAATTCTTCGGACTCATGATGTTGATCCGTTGTCTAAACCTTAAAATTTAAACATCTAAAACTTTGCTGTTGTGCCTTAGGACCGCCCGGCCAAACACCACCTGCAGGTGATACTGCTCTTCTAAGCTGCGAACAAATCTCCTAGTCTGGGGCTTAGTCTCAACAGTTCAGTCAGCTGGCTGCTCAGCTGATTACAACAGCCCCGGCACCCGACACCCTTTTCTTCTTCTTCTTCTTCTTCTTCTTCTTCTTCTTCTTCTTCTTCTTCTTCTTCTTCTTCTTCTTCTTCTTCTTCTTCTTCTTCTTCTTCTTCTTCTGCACTTCGAACCCTTAAGGTTCATTGACGCAGATATCATACGCCTCCACTCGTCTCTCTGGCTGTCCTTCTCTTTCCAGTTGGTGGCACCAAGTGTTTGCAGGTCAGCTTGAACAATGCCTGGCACATGACCCACATATAACCTAATTAGTAGTTTAGTGAGACTTTCGGTCGACAGAGATTTGATAATCAAGTGGATTGTTTTAATGGACGTTATTAGCCATGCAGCGGCGTCCGTGGCTAAGGCGTTGCGAGTCCGACTCGTGACCCAGCATACCGCGATCGAAACCTGCGTGGGCTGCGTGGATTTTTATCGTGGTATGGGACGTCGCAGGTCGACCCAGCCTAAAATGGGTACCAGGATGGGCTGTCCGGGGAAAGTAAAGACAGCCGGCGTAATGCTGACCACATTACCCACAGAGTGCTGACGGTCTGTAAAAATATGGAACGCTCTGCCCATATGCCCGATGCGCCGAAAGGCGTGAAAAGGGAACTTTACTTTACTTTACTTATTAGCCATGCACTGCGGATGAGATGACGAGAGCCAGTATATTGCATCTCTCAGGGCCACTAACTTCGAGACTCCCTATCAGCTCGGTTTAAACCGGTGGCCATTATACGCTGTTACCGATATATCACGACGAGGACGTGTGGCAGAAGTCTGTAGTAAGGATCTACAAAGATAGCACAGAGACTGATGGCTCCAAATGTGAAGTACGGGGTATCTCCTTGTAAATATCACAAAGGTTTTGTTCTCCTCTCACCTGTGACCAACGAGATGTATTTTCTTTTTACGGAAAAACTGAGAGACTTTAAGGGACGAATCGTTGGTATCAACAGTTAGTTTTGATGGCGCTACACTGAGCAAATTCTGAGGAGAATCGAGCAAAGAATTACTAAGTAGACATTGAAATAGGAAACAAATGGTTTGTGTAAACAATGACCTCCAAAACAAAAGGGAAAAAACACGCCTTGATGACATAGACTAAAGGTGCTAGATTGAATTCATGATATCGACAGGGTTGCACAGAGTAGGGCGAAATGAAGGGGTATACTGCGATCCCTATGTGAGATAATGTTAGAAAATGATGGCGGCGACGACAAAGATGGTGATGATGATGGTGATTATGATGATAAGGATGATGATGATGATGGTGATGGTGAGGATGGTTATGATGAGAATGATGATGATGATGGCGATGATGAGGATCAGGATGATGATGACGGTGATCGTGATGATGAGGATGATGATGAGGATGATGATGATGAGGATGATAAGGATGATGATGATGGTGATGATGAGGATGGTGATGGTAATGATGATGGTGATGGTGATGATGATGGTGATGATGATGATGAGGATGGTGATGGTGATGATGAGGTGAGGATTATGATGATGATGGTGATGGTGATGATGAGGTGAGGATGATGATGGTGATAGTGAGAATGATTATGATGATGATGACACTTATGTATTGATACGGACGTGGCCGTTCATGATGACGACGCTGATGATGAAAACGAACATGCTTGCTAACGACCACTGGTAACAGAGGACAAGATGCAAAGTCGATAAGTCATTACGATAATCAATAGCCTACCAAAGTGAGACCCTAACACCATAGATAAAGTTAATTTACTAGCCAGCCAAAGACGCCGAAATTAACTTGAACACTCGAGAGCCAAAGACGTTGAGATTTGTTAACAACCACTACTATCTCTTACTGTTTTACTTTCGGGAAAATATCAGACAACCAGCGGGTGGTATCTTGTGCTGTCGTTACTTCAGCAAGTTTTAGATAAGATTGGTGAGATAACCAGGTGATAAATATTACCTTTGTCTTGTCATAACTTTGCAACTTTTAGATAAGATTAGTGAGATAACCAGGTGATACATTTTACCTTTGTCTTGTCGCTACTTTAGCAACTTATAGATAAGATTAGTGAGACGACCAGGTAAGAAATGTTACCATTGTCTTGTCGTTACTTCGGCAACTTTTAGATAAGATTATTGAGATAACCAGGTGATAAATGTTACCTTTGTCTTGTTGTTACTTTAGCAACTTTTAGATAAGATTAGTGAGATAATCAGGTGTGAAATGTTACCTTTGTCTTGTCGTTACTTCAGTAACTTATAGATAAGATTAGTGAGATAACCAGTTGATAAATGTTACATTTGTGTTGTCATAACTTCAGCAACTTTTAGATAAGATTAGTCAGACAACCATGTGAGAAATGTTACCTTTGTCTTGTCATAACTTCAGCAATTTATAGACAAGAAAGTGAGATCATCAGATTATAAATGTTACATTTGTCTTGACATAACTTCAGCAATTTATAGACAAGAAAGTGAGATCATCAGATTATAAATGTTACATTTGTCTTGTCATAACTTCAGCAATTTATAGACAAGAAAGTGAGATCATCAGATTAATAATGTTACATTTGTCTTGTCATAACTTCAGCAATTTATAGACAAGAAAGTGAGATCATCAGATTATAAATGTTACATTTGTCTTCACATAACTTCAGCAATTTATAGACAAGATAGTGAGATCATCAGATTAATAATGTTACATTTGTCTTGACATAACTTCAGCAATTTATAGACAAGAAAGTGAGATCATCAGATTATAAATGTTACATTTGTCTTGACATAACTTCAGCAATTTATAGACAAGAAAGTGAGATCATCAGATTATAAATGTTACATTTGTCTTGACATAACTTCAGCAATTTATAGACAAGAAAGTGAGATCATCAGATTATAAATGTTACATTTGTCTTGACATAACTTCAGCAATTTATAGACAAGATAGTGAGATAATCAGGTGTGAAATGTTACCTTTGTCATGTAGTTACTTCAGGACATCTTTTCGCTGTAGATGTTCTGAGGCCCCACTTTGGGGGAAACAATTGAATCACTGCCTCCTCAACAAGCATGTCGTAGAAGTTGACTAGCAGAGGATTTTCTTCGAAGTCGAAGTGCATCTGAACGCGTGGCAAGGAACAACTAACTGGACAATACCTTTATTGTCGTTACATCAGGATTTAATAGATTGGGACACTGAAATAATCAGGAGAGCCCAATGTTACCAATTGCCCAGTCTCTACTACAATCATTTGTACAAGTATATGGAGCAACAATCAGACTCAGGCAAGAGAAATATAACTTTTTTTTTTTACTTTATTGTTTTTAGACAATAATCAAGCGAGCGAAATTTTCCTAAGTCTGTCATCGTCAAGTGCCTTGAGAGGGGCTATTATATATATATATATATATATATATATATATATATATATATATATATATATATATATATATATATATATATATATGTGTGTGTGTGTGTGTGTGTGTGTGTGTATATATATAATTTACATATATGGGTGTGTGTAGTAGTAGTAGTAGTAGCAGCAGCAGAAACAACAACAACAGCAGCAGTAGCAGTTGTTACTCTTGTGGGTAGAATCTGCTATATACTGCCTTTCAGTATTAAATTGTCAAATTTACCATCTTAGGTGTACATTGTGTCAACCTCCTTAGATTGTCTTGTCTTGTCTTGTCTTGTCCACAATTGCCTCACAGCGTAGTGGGGAGTCGCAGTTTTCTATCCTGGGCCAGGTGTGTTGCACGTGTTGTTGTTAGTCCGTGTTGCCTCAGGATCTCTGATATATTGTCTATCCATAGTACTCTCGGTCTGCCTCTTGCTCTAGGGCAGTAGTGCTGTTCGTTGTATGCTCGTAGAGGCAGTTGGTCGGTTTTGCATTCGCATCAAGTGGCCAAACCACTCTATTTGTTGCTTCTTTGTGTATTGCAGGCATGGTGTGGTTCCTACAATTGCTCTAATGTTCTCGTTTCGAACTCTGTCTCTCCTTGTGACATTGGCAGCCTTACGTAAACATCTCATTTCGCACGTCGTGATCTTTTTCTCCTGTGCTCTTGTTAGGGACCAGGTTTGGCATTGGTAGCAGAGGGTTGGTATAAACATGCAATTTATCAGTTGTCGTTTTAGTGCCATAGTGATGCTTGGGTGTTTTAGCAGTGGGGAGAGTTGGTAAGTTACTGCGTTCGCCTTTTGACATCTTGCCTCAAGTTCCCTATCAATTCTTCCATCATCTGTGAAGATGCTCCCCAAATATTTAAATTGCTGCACTTGTTTGAGTTGTTCGTTGTTAACTTGAATAGTTAGTATATTAGGTGTTCTACTTATTTTCAGAATTTCTGTTTTGGTGATGCTGATCTTCATGTTATATTCGTTGCAGACTGTGTGTAGCGCATTTACGTGGATTTGAAGTTTTTTTTCGTTTTCATCTATTATGCTTTGGTCGTCTGCGAAAAGTATTTCGTTCAGTTGGGGATGTACTTCTTCAGGATCGGCGTGTATGTTTTCATTATAATGATCTCTTTCAACTAGCTCTGACTCACTGCTTGGTGTAGTTAACAGTTCGCTTATCATTACATGGTTTGCTGCTGTTGTTATTCCTTAGATTGTTCACTATTAATAATAAACTGTATATCTTTTGTTATCTACTATAGCAGTAAAATGAAGACATCGAGAGTTCACTTGCAGGCACTTTACGTCATCAGTTTTGCGGTACATGTTGTGTTGGTATGTGGCCAGGAAAGAAGCGACTCTGATTACAACCAGCTAGAGGCTGCCAGATTTCTAACACTCAGCAATGAGGTCAGGAGACAGGCTGGGAAACCCCCGATGGTGAGGCAAGAATTAAATAGTTTTTTTGGCATTGGTACTTTAATTTTGTCAGCGTTGCGCATCGTAATACCGAGGTGTCGAGTTTGATCCCAACTGCATGCGAATTAGCAGCAGACCGTTTTGCGTACTCAGAAACACCGACTGATCCTAACCCTAACCCCAACCTTGAATACCCTTAGAATATTGGAGGTTCCCCAACTTCCAAATTTCCTTTGTTTGGAGTGAATTTAAATTAAAGTCTCTGGCAATTTTTGTGCGGTAAATAAACTGTCTTCTATTAATCTGGGACATAATCTTGAAGGACACATGCAAACGCATAATATCTGAGATAAGGTCTGTGCTTCGCTGCACGAACAAACAACCTGGAAGGATACATGCTAACGTATCACATTTGAGATAATGACTGTGCTTCGCTGCACAAACAAACAACCTTATGCAAACGCGTAATATCTGAGATAAGGACTGTGCTTCGCTGCACGAACAAACAACCTTAAGGACACATGCAAACGCGTAATATCTGAGATAAGGACTGTGCTTCGCTGCACGAACAAACAATCTGGAAGGACACATGCTAACGTATACCATCTGAGATAAGAACTGTGCTTCGCTGCACGAACAAACAATCTGGAAGGACACATGCTAACGTATACCATCTGAGATAAGAACTGTGCTTCGCTGCACGAACAAACAATCTGGAAGGACACATGCTAACGTATACCATCTGAGATAAGAACTGTGCTTCGCTGCACGAACAAACAATCTGGAAGGACACATGCTAACGTATACCATCTGAGATAAGAACTGTGCTTCGCTGCACGAACAAACAACCTTAAGGACACATGCAAACGCGTAATATCTGAGATAAGAACTGTGCTTTGCTGCACGAACAAACAATCTGGAAGGACACATGCTAACGTATACCATCTGAGATAAGAACTGTGCTTCGCTGCACGAACAAACAATCTGGAAGGACACACGCTAACGTATACCATCTGAGATAAGAACTGTGCTTCGCTGCACGAACAAACAATCTGGAAGGACACATGCTAACGTATACCATCTGAGATAAGAACTGTGCTTCGCTGCACGAACAAACAATCTGGAAGGACACATGCTAACGTATACCATCTGAGATAAGAACTGTGCTTCGCTGCACGAACAAACAATCTGGAAGGACACATGCTAACGTATACCATCTGAGATAAGAACTGTGCTTCGCTGCACGAACAAACAATCTGGAAGGACACATGCTAACGTATACCATCTGAGATAAGGACTGTGCTTCGCTGCACGAACAAACAATCTGGAAGGACACATGCTAACGTATACCATCTGAGATAAGAACTGTGCTTCGCTGCACGAACAAACAACCTTAAGGACACATGCAAACGCGTAATATCTGGGATAAGAACTGTGCTTTGCTGCACGAACAAACAATCTGGAAGGACACATGCTAACGTATACCATCTGAGATAAGAACTGTGCTTCGCTGCACGAACAAACAATCTGGAAGGACACACGCTAACGTATACCATCTGAGATAAGAACTGTGCTTCGCTGCACGAACAAACAATCTGACACATGCTAACGTATAACAACTGTGCTTCGCTGCACGAATCTGGAAGGACACATGCTAACGTATACCATCTGAGATACTGTGCCGCTCACGAACAAAGATAAGACACTGTAACGTATACCTCTCGCTTGCACGAACAAACAATCTGGAAGGACACATGCTAACGTATATCATCTGAGATAAGAACTGTGCTTCGCTGCACGAACAAACAATCTGGAAGGACACATGCTAACGTATATCATCTGAGATAAGAACTGTGCTTCGCTGTACGAACAAACAATCTGGAAGGACACATGCTAACGTATATCATCTGAGAATCTGTGCTTTGCTGTACGAGCTCGTCTACTTCAACTCACCAATGTATGTTACAGGTCACAAATTAAAACAAGTCAGTTTCAAATATTTAGTGTCCATTTTAAGTGACTTAGGGTTCAAACCAGAAATCATGGCAAAGATTGCCCAGATTACATCAGTCCTTGCCAAACAGCAAGTATGATCCATAAACATGTCATGTAAAAATAAGCCACGACTTCTCAAAGCACTAGGTATTAATACGTTTACATATGGCTGTGTGAAGGGTTCCTTGGCTGCTGAACTGGAGAAGAAGATACAAACAGTGAAAACGAGATTTTTCAGAATAGTGCTTGGCATTTAATACGTCACATATGACGAAGTTCGCCGTATAATTAGCCAACACATTAGCAACTATGAGCCTTTTCTAGTGTGAAAAGATAGAAAATGCATTGATAAAGACAAGTAAAAAAAAAAAAATCTTACCGCCCCTCAAAAACAATACTACAAGACTCAGCATAGAGAGAAAAACAGAAAAGGCAAACCAGAAAATACCTGGAAAAAGAACGTGTCTGACTGAACATGCCCTAGGCATGCAGCCATGAAGTTCACTGCATCTGAATGTTATGGGTGGAAGGAGCTGATCAGTCAGCAGCAACTGGTGACCCAACCACATGCTGTGTTAATACTGGGGGATGATGATGAGGAGCAGGCAGAAGGAGAGGAAGAAGAAGAAAAGAGAAGGAGGGCAAATGAGAGATAGATATGGATATGAAGAGAAATGGAGACATAGAAACTGATGTATTTATATTCCTGTTCATTTCATAAGGACTGGAATGAGCTGCTGGCAAGTAAAGCACAGATACTACTAGACACCTGCAGATGGAGTTCAGGTTTCATAACTCCAGGAACAGGTAAGATATCTTATTTGTATCTATAGTGATGTCACAGTTGGAAGCTGTCTAACATTTGTGCATGGAAGGAATGCACTAGCAACCAAATGTGCTGACGCTATGTTGGCTTTGGTCTAGTTCCAGAAGTTGTGCGCAACTTTGAAAATATGTAACTCATAGTTGAGTTGACTTGATTCCAGAACCGACATCACATCACTCGGGGTATTCCCTTAAGCGCTATGTCCCAATCTTCAGTGGCCAGAGCAGAGTTCTAATGCCAATGGTGCCAGTAGCATTTTGATTAAACGTCCGTCTTGCCTTTCATCTGAGTGTGGAGCATCGGCTCGATGCCCCTTTGTCACTCCCTGCTGCATCAGTCTTACCAGACTGTGGTGATCCATTTGCTCCTCCGAATTGCACGCTATCCAAAACTTCCCTAACCACGTCTGCCTTATCATGCATCAGTATTCCACCATGTTGTGCAGAGCCAGCCAGTCTGTCCGCCTGTTCACTTCTCAACACACTGGCGTGTCTCGGAGAAAAGACCCAGGCAATACACCGCACCCAGGACCTCCGCAGCGAAGCAAGAGTTCACTTTTTCTTTTCTTTATTTTGTGGTCCATTGAATTCTGAAAACGTTTCTCTGCCATCATCATCGTCATGTAGCAGGTCCTCCAAAGAACGTCGCTCTCATCACAGTCTGCTTGAAAGAAACTCGATTTTTCACCAGCTCTCCCGCCTCGTGTATTTTCATATTTAAGGAGTCACTTATATCATGTGCCCATCTTCGTGTTGGTCGGCCCCTACCCTTCTGCAATTATTTTTTCCAATCCACCGTAGCGCTTGATATTACCAAATTAATTCACCTTCCTAGACAAGACAGTGTTTAATAACAAATCTTCCTTGATGTTTAGATTTTTTTTTTTTTTTTTTTTGGAATTTTAGCATTTCTCTCTTTTTTTTTTTTTTTTTTTTTTTGGTCCATGATATTCTGAGAATCTTTCTATAGTATTTCAGATTTCTTTTTAAACTCTTTTCTTGCTTACAGATTGCAGGATTGTCAACTTTCTTAAGTTCACGAGTGCAGTTTTGACGGACCCTGTGTGTTCTAGCGGAAGCTACGGTGTTCCTGCTTTGTGCAACGCTCTTTCAAGGCGGCTAACCGTTACATAGACAAAGAACGAGCCATATGGGATCAAACCTGGTACCATAAAGTGGATGGTCTTGACTTTAGCCCTAATGTATCATTATGTATGTATGTGTGTCTGTTTACCTGTGCATTTAAACATTGCAGTAATGTATCAAGGACAAAGCAACTCGCCAGACGATAGGGGTCCAGAGCGGGTGATGCAGACAATCATGAGAGAGACACCTCGCACAATTGGAGCACACAGAGAAATCTGCTGTAGGGGCTTACACAGACCCTGCTGTCGTTACGAAAAGGTTTGGCTCACTTCTTCCTTTTGTGCTTCTTCTACTACTACTGTTATTATTATCATCATCATCATTATCATCATCGCCAACATTATTATCATTACGCTAGTGATACAATACTCTACCATAGCTAGATTAATGTTAACCTCTCTTTTTGCTTGTGGGATAGAATCCGATGATCCCCGTGTGGGTTGCAGGGCCTTATTAAAGAGAAAATAAGAATAGACTCACTTTCTCCCCAGCAAGTATGTCGTAAAAGTTGACTAATTGGGAGATTCCTTCAAAGTTGAAGAGCATCTGCCTAGGAAGCAAGGAACAAAAAGTCTGCATATTTATAAAGGGAACTGTAAAACGGATGTACACGTAAAACTCATGTTCTGAAACAAAACTAAAGTCCAAGAGACATCTTAAGAGCTACAGTCAGCACCGGACAAGGTGACTGGTTGTGGTGCAGAGATGTGTGCTGTCATTAACCCAGAAAAGGCGGCTGGTTTATGGTGCTTTATAAACAATAAGATTGCCAGAGCTGATGTACCAAGCATCATAGTTAATAACAATGTGATCAAAAAACCTAATTACGTGGGTATCACGTTCGATAGAAGCATGTTTTTCAAGGACAGTTTGGAGGCTGTTGCAGCAAAGTGTCGAAAAGGACTTAGTGTACTTAAGACTATGGCACCAGCAGATGTGAAACAATGACTGTTCTTTACAATTTGTTCAGTACTCGGTCGTTTTGGAGATAGGTAATGGAAATGGAATGCTCGCCATAGGAAATATTCCGTATAAAGTGACTCGCATCCCTTCAGAGACCCAGGGTAGTTAGCGCCCTTTTGATATTTTGTTAGGGTATACATGTATGGTGGGAAACAACAGACAGACAGTCTGAGAAACGTGAACGCATAAACAATGAAGCCAGGTTGTGATTCTGGGATGTGCAAGAGTTATCTCAGTATATGTATGCAAGATATATTTGAGCTGTCGACAATAGCAGATGGACCTAAATACTGCAAGCGACATCCTGCCTCAGGGTAGCTGCGGACAAGAAATAAATCTCGCACGAACCTCTAGATAAAGCTAAAGATGGCTCTGTGTTGAGATGCAAAAGTAAATAGTGGTTGGCAAAAGCGAATGGACGGTTGTTAGTGCAACAAAGTCTGGCATATGATATCACAACACCTTGTTTGGGACTGACTCACGAAGCATGCTGAGAAAGCTAGACGTCTGTGGCTTTGGGTTTAGAACGCATTTTGTAATTTTAAAATACTCGTTTCCATTCCAGCTGGGGACTTATTTGGCAGCAGACGGCCGACTGTTGAGACAAATATGACAAACAACAGCGTAGTAACTTCAGTTGCTCCAACATGCTAGGACAAAATACAATCTATAATAGCATAGTAACTTCAGTTGCTCCAACATGCTAGGACAAAATACAATCTAGAATAGCCTAGTAACTTCAGTTGCTCCAACATGCTAGGACAAAATACAATCTAGAATAGCCTAGTAACTTCAGTTGCTCCAACATGCTAGGACAAAATACAATCTAGAATAGCCTAGTAACTTCAGTTGCTCCAACATGCTAGGACAAAATACAATCTAGAATAGCCTAGTAACTTCAGTTGCTTCAACATGCTAGGACAAAATACAATCTATAATAGCCTAGTAACTTCAGTTGCTCCAACATGCTAGGACAAAATACAATCTAGAATAGCCTAGTAACTTCAGTTGCTCCAACATGCTAGGACAAAATACAATCTATAATAGCCTAGTAACTTCAGTTGCTCCAACATGCTAGGACAAAATACAATCTAGAATAGCCTAGTAACTTCAATTGCTCCAACATGCTAGGACAAAATACAATCTATAATAGCCTAGTAACTTCAATTGCTCCAACATGCTAAGACAAAATACAATCTAGATAATACCATGTGTAAAACACACAGTATATTATGCCTTTCAAATCTGCTAATGCCAAAGTCTTTATCTTGTAACATGAATATCAAACACACACACACACACACACACACACACACACACACATACGCTTATAACACCATTTTTTTAATTAATAATATTATTCTGAAAATGAGCACAGCTGAAACAAAAACAAGAGAAAGCCTTATTTAAAAAACAAATGTCGAAAATAGTCATGCGACAAATCTATATACCCCTCAAAGATGTACAGAGGGGAATGCAGATTGAGAAGCGACAGTGATTGATCACTGGTATCATGACGGCTAATAGTCTGAAATGGTGGTAGCAAAATTGAGAGAATGTCAGACAACATAAAGGTAAAAACTATATACACAAGGGGGTTGAATGGTCGTAGAGCACGAGGCAGACAAACAAGAGGATGGAGAGACAAACGGACCTGTAAACACTTGGTGTCACTAACTGAAAAGAGAAGGCCAACCAGAGAGGTGACTGCAAGCGGGTGATATCTCCAGCAATGAACCTCAAGGTATTGGAATGCTGAAGAAAACGTTAGTCAGAGGTTCGTGGCTTTGACGTTGCGAACCCGCTTCGTAATTTCGATATACCCGTTGCTGCTCCAGCCGGGGAAGGAAGGGGGTTGATTTAGTTTAAATGTATATTCGGACGCTACCGTGGTGTAGCAGCTAGACGCTCGCCCACGGATTGAAAAGTTTTGGGTTCGGTCCCTGGTGGACTTATTTCAAAATGGACCATGGCTCCCTGTAGGACCCAGCATTGAGTGAGTACCAGTGGAGTCCTGGGAAGTGAAGTCGGCCGGCGTGAAGCTGACCACATCACCCACCAAGTTCCGGTTTGTCTATAAAGTTTACATCAAGCCCTATATGTCCAATAGCCTAAAGCCGTGCACAAAGGTCCTTCACTTTCATATATGTATATATATATTTCCTTTGCAGATGATGTCCACAGAGTTCACATCGGTTGGCTGTGCACAAAGAATGTGTAACTTTACTGTAACTAGGATTACATTTCCCAATGTTTACATGTTTGCTTGCTTCTACACTAGCAGTGAGGACGAAGACCAGTGA